TGGACATCGACGTGGCGACCTCGGCGTGTCGGCCGACCTGGACGACCTCTCCGTCTCGGCCAACGCCGGTGACAACGAAGCGTCGGCCAGTGCTGACGACAACTCGGCCTCGGTCACCACGGACAGCGACAACAACGACAACAATAACGACAATGACGACGACAACGACGTGGACATCAACGTGGGCGACCTCGGCGTGTCGGGCGACCTCGATGACCTTTCAGTCTCGGCCAACGCCGGCGACAACTCGGTCTCGGCCAACGCTGATGACAACTCGGCCTCCGCCTCCACCTCCTCGTCGGCCGCCTCGCTGGCCACTCCCCTTTCCTTCCTCTTCTAAGAGAGCACGAGAGATTCTCGCTCGTCTATCACACGTGGCTACCCACCATATTTCAACAACATCATTTTCTAGATATCGACTTTAAACAGCTTCATACACCGTTACATCTTGGGTTGTTGATCCTTGGCGAGACGACTTCCGGGGCGTTCGCGCCCATGTCGGCAACAAACAAGGCGACGCCGGCGCCGGCGGCAGCGGCCACGGCGGGTGGTCGACGCATGCCGATGCTGCAGAAGAGTTCGAGCTTCATCCACCGCACGCGCCACCTTAACGATCCGCACAAGAGCGACGCCCGGCACTACTACGTGAGCCACCACGCCGACGGCAAGGCGAAGGCCACGACGCTGCAGCGCCACGGGGTGGACAAGGACATGATTGAGCTGAGCAGGGTGGCCCAGGACGACGCGCTGCGGGAGAAGGAGGACCGGAAGCGGCGCGAGGAGGTCGAGGCGCAGGTGCTGGAGGCCTTCAGGGCGGCGACGGAGGGCAAGCCCAAGCAGGATCCGGCGGCCGAGCGGCGGCTCAAGCGGGACCTGCGCAAGCTGCTGATGCGGCGCAGGAGCTCGGGCCTCAAGAAGAAGCATCTCTCGTTCGATCGCAAGTGGAACGAAGAGTACCAGGCCCTGCTCGATAAGGTACGACACGACACGACACGACACGACACGACACGACACGACACGACACGACACGACACGACACGACACGACACGACACGACACGACACGACACACGCACTGACGCACGACACGCACTACAGGGAATTTGGAATATGTCTGCCAATGATGCGCAGGAGATTTCCAATTTGATGCACGATTTTGTATTCAATGTGGAGACCTACGCCAAGGTCATCATCAACGAGCTCAACGTCGACGACAGCAAGTGCGCGCATTCACTTCCCCCCCCCCATTCACACACCTCACGCGCTTCGTTCTTTTAACTCCGACCATTCGCAGGAAAACGATCAAGCCCGTCGAAGTGGGCGGCATCGCCGGAGGTAAAAAGTATGTGGTGCAGTTGTGGTCATCCGGATGTCTTGCCTTGCTCGCTCCTACAGAACCTTGAGCGCCTCAAGCTCCATGGCAATGACTCCCACAGGCGCCACTTGCTCACGCGGGGTGGAATGCGCGAGGGCCACGAGGCGTGCGGCGTTCTCGTTCTCCAGCGTTCCAGTGGTCGTCATTTCCGCCCACTCCTGCGCGGAGAGCCACTGGGCGCCGCCATGGCTGCTCCAGTCAAAGTCCTTGAACTTCTCGGCCACCGAGGCGAGGAAGACCACCTGGCAATGCAATGGAGAGAACTGTCATCACGAGCCAGGCGACAACAGAGGCCAGCCTTCAACTTGACGAGGTGGTACCTTGATGAACCCGGTGGGGTTGGGGTTGCTGGGGGAATTGGGAGCAAAGTAGTACACCTTGAGCACGCCTTCCATCGCCAGCACGATACCGCCTTTTGTTGAGAGCGATGATGATTCGTGTTAGCACCATTTCCGCACAAGCACCGACAGAAGAAGTGAAGAAGAAGCACTGATAAGCTCTGCTGCTGCGAGCTTGAACTGGCGCGGTCTCGTCATAGTCGCAGAGGGGATGTTCCACTTGCCACTCTCTCCCTTCACCGCCAGGTAGCGGCCTGGAGTGGTAACAGAAAGGGTTGGTTAGGCCCATCTTGGGTGTTGGTTGGAAGAGTAGTAGCGCAAGCGCAGTTCACCTTGACCATCAGTAACCACGGCCTCAACAGCGGCCACAAGGTTCACCTGCACCTTGTGGTGGTTCACGGTGCCACTGTCCTGTTCCGCGCACCACAGAGCGTCAGCAACCCGCGCTCGCCTAGGTCATGACGGTGAGTGTGACGTGGCCGAGTACCTCGGACTCGAGCAGAGAAGTGGGAAAGAGTCGTGTCCCAGACTGCGCCCAGTTGAAGATGGACTTGACCTCTGTTCCATCACACACAAAGCAATGCACCATCAGCGTTGGTTTTCATTTTGTGCTGTCCATCAAGGGGATGAGTACCGTGTGAGCGTAGGTTCTTGCCCTTCAACTCTTCGACGGTGAGCCTGCAGGTTAGCGGCGGTCGTGGTGAGTGAGTGAGGCCCACATCCACAACAGTGGGGATGTGATCCATCCAATGCACTCACCATTTGGCTTCCATGATTTCGTGATCAGGCACGGTCTTGAGTGGTGTATCGTCGGCGGGCTTGGCTCCATAGATGACACGCAAGCGAGACCCCCTATTTGTTTGGCAACACAGAAGAAGAAATGAGTTCGCCGCCCCAAAGCTCACTGGCATAAACGTACTTCATGCCAGGCGTGTGCTGAATCCTCAGGATGCCGGTCAGCGTTACGGGAACACCTGAACCATCAGGAAATGTAGAGTCAATCGGACAGTGGACCCCAAGGGGCTTAGCACTCTAAAATTGTACCGGCCTCTTCCAGAGCCTCTCTGACCGCTCCCGTCTCAAAGCCCTCACCAGCGTCCACTCTGCACCCCAAACACCAAGCACTGGCCTTAGACCAGCAGTGAATGTGACAATGCTCATCAACAGGCCACCATAGTAGGAAGGTTTCAAAAAGAAAAAAAGATGATACGTGGGAGGGTGGGTTACCGTCCTGCAGGGAGGTACCACCCATCTCGTTCGTGCGTTGTGGCGAATTTGCCCTCGTCGTTGCGAAGAACGACCAGCGAGATGAGGGTGGACGAAAAGGCGGGTTCCACTGGGCAGCGCCCCATAAACAGCCGTGGTCGTCTCCATCTTCGAAATCAAAAAGTGAAGAAGGGAAAACGAAGAAGTTTGTTTCCAGGAAAATGAAATTTTTTTCTTTTTCTATTTCTTCATCCACTTCGCGGCACGAAGATGAAAAGGAAGATCGCACAAGTTGCCGGAGAGGCCAAGTCGCAAGCTTCGGAGCAAAAGAAGAAGCAAGATGCACCCGCACAGGCTTCCGCGGCTGGAGGGTTCACCAAATCACAAAAGAAGCGCCAGAGGAAGAAGCAGCGGAGCCAGGAGGTCCAGCAGGCAGCTCCAGCGCCAGCTCCTGTGACAGCTCAGCCGACCAAGCAGGTAGGATCGCCTAGAACTCTCTTTACTTTACTTAATTAAACATAATAATTTGCGATTAATCTTCATGTTCGCAGGCCAAGCAAAATGGCGCGAAACAGGGTGCTCAGCCGCAGCAGGGAGGATCCAAGTCTGAGGCGTGCGAGCCATCGACGCTCTTCGCATCACCCGAGAGCTGTCTGCAGTGGTTGTTGGGATCGAGCATGACGATCCAGCGCTTCTTCGCCGAGCACTGGGAAAAGAAGCCGCTGCTCGTGAAGAGGAAGGAGAGGAAGGTAGGCGATGGGAACCGCCTGACGAAGGACCTGTTCTCCTTCGCCACCTTCGAGCGCCTCTTCTCGTCCAACCGCCCGCTCTTCTACACCAAGAACCTCAACGTGTGCCGCTACGAAGACGGCGAGAAGAAGATGCTCAACCCTGAAGGTAGTACGCTCACCACACTACCTGCGATTGCCATCAAGCCATCCATTTTGCTGACTCTGACTCGTTTGGTGCAACGCTGCTCCAGGTCCGGCTTCGCTCAAGGAGGTGCGCAAGTTCTGGCGTGAGGGCAGCACGTTCCAGTTCTTCCAGCCCCAGCAGGTACAATGACAATGACAACGACCCGCCGCCAGTCGACGCTGATTGCAGTGGTTGATTTTTGATTTTTCATTGGTCTGTCCTCCATGGTACCCACCAGCACTCGGAGGTGCTGCATCGGATGATTGCAGGCCTGGAGCAGTACTTTGGCGCACTCGTGGGCGCCAACATCTACATGACGCCGCCCAACGCTCAGGGTCTGGGTACGTTGCAAGGCCCCTGGCCTGTCGGCAGTGCGCCGACTTGCAGGCGCTCGCTCACGTGTTGTTGCTTCGTACGCGCAGCGCCGCACTATGACGACGTCGAGGTGTTCATCCTTCAACTCGAGGGCAAGAAGAAGTGGAAGCTCTACTCTCCCCCGCCTTCGGACGAGCTCCCGCGCGAGTACAGCAGGGATCTCGACCAAGACGAGTGCGGCGAGCCGCTGATGGAGCTCGAGCTCGAGGAGGGCGACCTGCTCTACTTCCCGCGCGGCACCATACATCAGGTACCTTACACTGCACTACGCTCTCTTGAGGTGCCCATGGGCACCCTGCGGTCCAGGGTGCTGACCAAGCTCCCCCACGTTGGTGTCTATGTGTAGGCCTGCACCGGCCCATCTGCCTCTACGCACGTTACCATCTCCACCTACCAACGCCACACCTGGGGCGACTTCCTGGCTGTCGCTCTGCCGTTGGCCATCAAGGAGGTACGGTGGACTCACTCGTGTTGCGTACAATACGGAGGTGGCTGAACTGCATTCCGCGTCGGTGCATTGGTGGTCACTCTGTCTTCGCGCGCCAGGCCATCGAAGAGGATGTGGAGTTCCGGCGCGGCTTGCCGGTCGACTACCTGACGTACATGGGCGCCGCCTTCGCCCCCGAGAACGAGGCGGTACAGGGCGAAGCCTCACAGGGCAAGGGCAAGGGCAAGAAAGTACGATTTCGCTCCCTTTGTACTGCGGTCGTCATGCCAATCCTTAAGCGGTGCGTCTCCGTGGTGCCCTTGAATGCAGGCTTCGAGCGGTAGTAAGGGCCAGGCCGCCAAGCAGCAGCAATTCGAGTCCAAGATGGTTTCACTTCTGCACAGGTAACTATCAGGCGATGAAAATAGCTGTGTTTTGGCTTCGTCGCTCTGACATTGTTTCTTTTTCTGGTTTGCTTCTTCTTCGTCCAGATTGAGCGGCCATCTCTTGCTCCACAAGGCGGCGGACATCACGTCGCTGGACTTCGTCAACCATCGGTTGCCCCCGGCATCGCTCTGCTACGCTGCTCCCCAGGAAGAAGCCCAGGTAACCACACGTGTCGCGCGTCATGTGTCGTGTCTTGATCATCCTCATTAACGAATGCTTATGGTACGCAGACCAAGAAGGCGACCAAGAAGAAGCAGAGCAAGGAGCCTCAGGTACAAGAGGCGCAAGTTTTGGACGATGACTCTTCCATCAGGTCTCACCTCTCTTGTTTAGCCCCCTTCGCGGTTGCACACTCACCTTAACTCGATCAATTTCTGGCGAACACAACAGACTGGCGGAGCCCAACTACATTCGCCTGGTGGTGGCCACTGCGGAGGATGAAGAGGGTCCCGATGCCGAACAAGGTTCGTCCGTGTTCCCACGCGCATCAGCCCCTTTATCCAAGCTTGGCCCAGTGTTTAATTCAAATGTACATTGCTGTCATCCTGCAGCTGGCATGCTGCTGGACGAAGAAGCCGGAAGCGAGGAGGACTCTGAAGCCGATGAGGACCAGCCCAAGAAGGTACGGTCCAGCTCTCGTTTGGAGCCAAACACCATTTACGTTGTCGTTGTTAAACAAGGCGCTGACTATGTTTCCTCACACTCTCGGGCAGCAGGCAAATGGCCGTTGCAAACAGAAGGTTGACGTGGAGGAAGAAGAAAGTGAAGAGGGTGAAGGGGCTGATGATGAAGACGAGGAAGACGAGGATGAAGGAAGCGTCCTTCTCTATCATTCGCTTCGCAATCCCGCCGAGTTGCACATGAGCGGCCACCGAAACGAGCCCAGCCTCCTGCGCTTCCCTCTCAACCACCTCCCGGCCCTCAAGCACCTCGTCGCGGTACGTCTCAGACAGTGCAGCCTCGCCACCAACTCAACTCACGCGTTTGTGTTGCAAAAAGCCATGTCTCATCGCCTCGTCCTCCGTGCCTGTGCGTGCAACACCACCAACAGAGTTATCCGTCCTTCGTGCCGGTGGCTTCGCTGCCGGGCCTCGATCCGACGCAGGCGATGCATCTCGCCATTGCCCTGGGCGTCGAGGACCTCCTGCAGACAAGCAACAAGTGAAGGGGGGCATCGCGGACATGCTACAGCGCAGCTCGGGTCAAAGATAACAACTTCTTCGGACTAAAGTTATTTCTGTCTCATGCTGCTTCCTCTTCCTTCTCTCCTCTCTCTCTCTCTCTCTCCTCGCTTCAGTCCCTGACGACGGTCACGTTGGCCGGGCAGTTGTGCACGAGACCGCTGCTGGTCGAGCCCAGAAGAGCCCTGCACCCACCGCATTGGCGGTCAGCGACAGGTACAGAGAGAGCGAAGAAGAGGCACACGAGCGTCGCACCTTTCGAGAGTGCCGAGTCCCCGTGAGCCGCAGACGATGTTGGAGATGCCGCGCTGCGTGACGGAAAGGAAGCTCATTAGCTCAGGTTGCGTGCTCGTCCAGTGGTGTGGTGTGGAACAACATACCCTCTGGGCCGCGCTGCAGATGTTGTCGCTCAACTCAGTTGCCGAACGGTAGGGAACTGTCATCCACTCACACTTGCGCTGCAGTCACGAGCGTGAGCCAAGGCTCAACGTTAAGCGCCCCCGGGGAGGGGGGCAAGAGAGCAGAGAGACGCACTTCGTGTTGGCGGCACAGGCGCGCGTAGCGGTGCATGGTCCTTGCGCTCTGCATGAACTCGTAGTCCTCGAAGGCCTTGCGGCGCTGCTTCTCCATCCACTTCCCTGTATTGCATAATGTTCCGTCGTGTGGGCTGCGAGGCGTGGTGTGTGGTGTGTGTGTGTGTGTTGGTGTGGTGCACAGCGCTGTGCGCTACCTTCACTGTCCGGCATGGCCTCTACGCGAAACTCGGGCTTGTGCACACCGTGGACCAGCACCAGCGTGTGGTCCTTCGGCAGCTGATCGCACGCCCACTCGAACGCTCTGCACCCACCGCGGGGTGAGCTCAGGCTAACGTGCACGTCCAGAAAAGAGAAAGGGACTGGGGTTTGCGGGGGGGGGGGAACAGTGCACCTTTCGCTGTGCTCAGAGCCATCGACCGCTACGATGTGCTCGGGTAGGTTGCGGCTCTCCTCCTTGGCGCGCTGCTTCTCCTCGTTCTCAACTGCTGTTATCACAAGTGGTACGCTCATGTTGAAGGTGGTTACTTTCGACTTTGGCCGTGCCTTGCTATCTCTTGTCCAAGGTTGTTGGTGCCCCAGCGATCCGACGGGTGGCGGTTGACATTTCCGGCGAAAATGCATGGAGTAAAGGGGTATCAAGGAAAAAGATGAAATAGCAAGGAAATGAGGAGAGAAAAGAAGGTGAAACGAATGTTGGATTGGGATGGAGCCGGTGGAAGAGCAAGAGAAGCTGAAGGAGGTGGCGGACCAGACAACTGCGTCCTTGCCAACAACGGCGAACGAAATCCAGGTCCTCGCAAATGGCGAAGATGAATTGAGCGGGGCATCGTCATCTCCCACGCCCTCGATTCCCGCCGCAGCCGAGGCTGCTGGCCTCCGGCAACGAGCTCCCTCTCGCCGCCCGCCCAGATCTTCCTCGTCTTCATCTTCCACAGCACGATCTCGGCACAGCCGAGCCAGAAAGAACGAAGCAGATGGCGGCGAGAAGAAGGGCCTAGGGACCCGGGTCGGGGGCGCGTTGGCGGACAGCGTCAAGTCAGTCGGAGCGCGCATGTTTCTCATGTGCATCCTCCTCATGGTGGGGCTCGCCATTGCCGCCGTCACCGCATTCGTACGCGCCTGCTCTCTCGTTTCATGTGCACATCATCCACGCGCTTCGACGTGTACACGTCGGTGGCATCGGCGCTAACGCTGTGCTCGGTTGGTTATGGCTCGTGCAGGCGTTTTGTTGGGCCTTCTTCCCGGTGGCCACGGCGCCTATCGCGGGCCAGCGCGCCATCGCCTCGCTCGAGACCATCACGCTCGGAGGTGAGACTCTCATTTTTGGAGTGCTGCAGTCATGGCCATCAGATTTATGTGGTGCGCTGTCGTGGTGTGTGTTGTGGATGCTTGAGCAGGAGTGGAGCAAAGCATTCTCATAAGGGCCGAAGATGCCTCCAATCCGATCGTCCTCCTGTTGCACGGGGGACCGGGACTTCCGCTGATGCCCTTCCGCTCTGGCTTTGCTGCACTGGTTCGTTTTTTGCTCTCTCTCTCTCTTCTCTATCCCCCTCGTCGCCTGACCCTCCTCAATATTAATCTGCTGCGTCTTCGACCAACACCAGGAAAAGGACTTTGTCGTGGTCTACTGGGATCAGTACGGCAGCGGCAAGAGTTGCGAGTGGTCCACCTTCTTGGTCTCTTCTTCATCGTCATCCTCGCCTGCCCCAGCGTGGCAGGAGCACGATCACCATCACCGTCATGGCTCATCTGATACCGACGAACCGGCCGACAACGCTGCAGACGGCCAGCGCCAGGCCAGCGCCGGTCGCACCCCGTGCCGACGCTGCGGGGCGCACAGGTGGGACCGCTTCGGCGACTTTGAAGAGGACGAGCCCGCCGGACCCCAGCGCCGCATCGACCTGGCCTCGACTCTGCAGGACACCGAGGAGCTGGTGAGCTATCTGTGCCGTCGATTCCACCAGCGCGCAGTGGCGCTGGTGGCCCACGACTCGGGCAGCGTGGTGGCCATGCAATTCGCGCGGCAGCACCCGGAGCTCGTTCGCTCGGTCTTCCTGGTGGCGCCGCTGATCGACTTCGGCCGGCAGCACGCGACGGCGCTCGAGTGGGCGCTTGACAAGGCCCGACGCGAGCGGCAGTACGCACTCCTATCGCAGCTCGAGGCCACCGGCGGCGGCGTGACGCTGCCGCTGGCCAACGCCACGCAGCTGCTCAAGCTGCGCCGAGCGGTGGCCGAGCTGGGCGGCGACATGCGCCGGGGCGGGTTCGTGCTCAAGCTGCTGCACCACATCTTCTCGGCCTCGGAGTACGGTGTGGGCGACAAGCTGACGCTCGTGCCCTGCGGCATCCAGTCCGCGGCCCACCAGTTCAACGACCTGCGGCAGGTCAACCTCACCGAGCAGGTGCGCGCCGTGGACGTGCCCGTGGCGATGGCCTGCGGCAAGTGGGACAGACTCGCGCCGTGCGCCTTGGTCGAAGAGTACCTCCACGCCCTGCGAACCACCGCCGCCGCCTCGGCCCCGGCTTCGTCTCCCTCATCTGCTACATCGACAGAGTCGCCTACGACGGCCCTGCCGCGTGTGCGCGACTTGGTCGTGTTTGCCCAGTCAGCGCACTGGCCGTTCATCGAGGAGGGCGAGATCTTCGTGGAACGGCTGCGCGAGCACTTGACCGTTCAGTAACGTAAGAACACGCAGGCCAAGGCCGGTGCTCAGTGCAGATGAATGTAGCGAACAAAATGTTCTGTTTTCCAAAAATGGAAATTAAAATATTTACAAATAGAAATTACATTATTTTTGGCGGATATCAGTGAAAGAGAGAACAAGAGAAAGGATGGAGGTGGACGCAGGGCTGTTGGGTACGCTTGTGGCGATGGGGTTTGAGCAGGAGGCGGCGGCCAACGCCCTGCTGATCACCAACAACGCGTCCCTCGACGAGGCGCTCGACTACCTGCAGCGCTGCTGCCTCGAAGCTGGCGAAGGGGGCGCACCAGGTGGCAGCACCACAGACACCAAAAAAGCCACGCCCGACGTTCAGGTTCCTGTCAATTCTATTTGCTTCCATTTATTTATTGGTTTATTTATCTATTAGTTCATTTATTTCCTTTTTATCTCTATTTGTGTAAATGTGTGTAGCTGCCCGAGAACCCGACCTCGTTGGCCGACTATGGCTACCACTTCAACGACGAGGGCGAGCTGCGGCACCTGGAGACCGGCACGCCGTTCCAGTTCATCAACCAGAAGCACTACGAGGCCATGGGCGACATGATCGTGCGCCACATTCAGGAGGCCATGCTGAAGGCGTACCAGCTCACCGAGCAGATCATCCCCCTGCACGACGTAACGCTGCTTTTTCGCACCACTTGCACATCCCGTGGCGCGCCGGCATGCTCAACCTCACTTCCATCGTTCACCTACGTGGCGGCTGCTTTGTCGCGCAGGTGCCCTATGAGATGCCGCGCAGCTGCCTGTACATGTCGCCAGAGTGGGAGACCGCAGAGGTCCTCCTGTTGCTCACGCACGGTGCATATCTACCCCCCCACAGCTCCACGCACAAGTCTTAGCGCACGCCCGGCGTTGTCGTCCTCTACTCTCTCACACTTCGTCATACACCCCAGGTTCCGGAAACGTGAGAGCGGGCCAGTGGGCCCGCAAGCCTTGCTTCAACGACTCCCTCCAGGTAGGAATCCAATCCGTGTGGTGGTGGTGGTGGTGTCTGCTGACCCATGATCATGCATATAGATCGGCTCTGTGCTGCCCTACATCAAGAAGGCGCAGGAGGCCGGATGGGCGGTGATCGTGCTCAACCCTAATCTCAACGAGGGGACGATCAACGGCAAGCGGGTGCCGATTGCTCGTAACGAGAGCCCGGAGGCGCACTACCTGTACGTGTGGGACACCTTCGTGAGCAAGGCGCAAGCCAAGCACGTCTTGATGGTGTCCCATTCGTATGGCGGAGTCAGTACTATCAATCTCATCGAAAAACGAGGTACTCCTCACCCACACGATCATGTGTGCTTACATTCAGAAATTGACGCGTATATATCGCGGATGACCAACATCTCTTGTTTGGGGGAATACACAGAGAAGCAGGTGTTGCAGCGATTGAGGGCACTGGCCCTGACCGACTCGATTCACTTCTTCAAGCACCGGCGCATCACGCGCCAAGGCTTCGATTGGCTTGCCACCAACTGCATTGACTGGGTTTCATCAGGTTTGCCAACGTTATCAAGGACCTTTGGGGGGGGGGGACAGCCGCGTCGTGTGCTGATTGGAATGAACGTAAACGGTGCGCAGACCTGCCGCTTGATTCTCCGGTCGACAACAAGGCCGACTGCTACTGTGTGAGCGCGGGCACCAACAAGCACGAACACACGAGCGGGTTCGCTATCGAATCCGTGTTCAACTTCTTCCAGGTGCGCCGCTCCACCCCATCCAACAAGCTCACGTTGGCGTCTCGCTGTTGTCTGACACTCGCCATTCCAGGCGCGACTGGAAGTGGCTGCTTTCCTCTAGGCACCCACCCTTCGCCAGTTGCAGTTGAAACAAGGTTTGGCGACGCATAGCTCCGGTCGCTGGAATTCTGCACCCGCGCGCCTTTTTTCTTTATGTCCGATCGCTCTCCTTGGCCCTATCTCCATGGTGTACTCTTCCGTTTTCTCAGTAGTAGTCGCGCATGGACACGCAGCAGCTTTCTACACCAAGCCCTAGCCCAAGCTCGAGGGTGTCGTCGCGGTGCTTGACCTGCCAGAAAGCGCACAGCGCGTGCAGCAGGTGAGTACATTCATTCTTTCTCTCTCAAGCTTCCGCGCAGAGGCTTGACGTTGCGGCTTCCTCCACACACAGAGTGCTCCCATGCGAACGTTGCGTCAGGCTGGGCAGGGAAAGCACCTGCGCGGTTGCGCCCCCCAAGAAGAGGGGCAGGCCTTGCAAGGCGCCTCGTCGGCCAGACTCCATGGTTGAGACACCTGAATCGACCCAAAACTCACCATCTTCATCGAACGAAGAGTCCAACCAGGCCCCTAGCACTCCAGAGCCCGACCAAGATGTCAAGCGGGACACATTGGAGTGGGTTCGTACTTTAGTGCTGGCTTTTAAAATGTTGAGTGTTAGAATGAGTGTCTGATCTTTTTTGGGGGCTGGCGACCACCAGGACACCGCGAGTCGGTTTATGAGGCTGATCCTCCGAGAGCTGAAGAAGGTGCGCAGGGAGCACCGGCGCATGAGCCGGAGGCTGGCAGGCTTGGCCAACCGCGGGACTGATCTGGCGCGGCTGCTCGACGCGCTTCAACAAGACCAGCGGTGCAGTACCGCGCGTGTCCCCAGCCAGGCGGCGTGCCCGCTACGGTGGAGGCAGTTCGACGAGCTCATGAGCCAACCGTCAGGCTTCGCCTCTCCGGACTGCCCTGAGGAGGATGAGTCGTGGAGTTCGTGCTCACCAATGCCCACGGCTGAAGCTCCCGACCTCTTCGAACAATGCGTGCCCCACCACCCCGCCCCGCCTCTTCACCCCTTCCCCCGGTCAGGGTCGGCCCACCAAGCGCTGGCCTTCTTGAGCGAGTTCGACTTCAGCCACAGGAGATGCGTGGTCCGAGATCTGAGGTTCGTTTTTCCGTCGGTGGGTGCCGCTACTGCATGAGGAGGTCCAACACTTACGCCCTTTTTGTTCATCAGGCAACCCACCATGGCCATGCAGCTGCACGAGCCCTCTTGCTTTGATGAGGTGGTGGAGCCCTGTGTCACATACGCCACTCCTGCGCTTTGCACGTTCCTCAGCTATCAGCCGGTAAAACCACTTCCGCCACCCGCTCCCCAGTCTGTTGCTGCGTACACAGCCGTAACCGTCGCTCCACGTACAACAGGGAGAGATGAACGGCATGAGATGCTCCGCGGTTTGTTTGCAACACTTCGATACCATGGCGAGTTCGCTCGCGCTCGCGTTGAGTAAGCCGGCACACCAAGTGGGCGAGGTGTTCGCCATTGCCAGCTGTTGGATCACCAAGAGCGGCCACTTGGAAGCCAACGACGCTCAAGTCCAGATCCTCTACAGCCCAGCGGGCTTGGTTCGGCCTCTCTTGCATGCACGCGCACGCACGCACGCACGCGCAGAGTTGCGTGGGCTCACCCATCTCACTTGGTCACTACAGGCAAAGTGGGTGATCATCGTGGCGGGCAAAGGGACCGGCATTCTGCAGCAGCCACTTCACACCCCGGCCTTCTTCCTGCATGACCCGGCCACACGCGAGGAGCTTCGTCGCGCCGTCGCTGCTCGTCTTGGCCTGAGCCCACACGCAGTGTAAAAAAGTCGTAAACATGTGTAATATACTTTCTGCTTACCGTTGAAGGCAGCCAATCTGAGGTTCGACCGCAGATAACAACAGAGAGGCGAGTGCGCCTTGGAAAAGGTAAAAAGGCAAAGTAGAAAATAGAAGAGAAAACAAAGTGTTGTTTGTTGCGTTGAGCCACAATAGCGCGCAAGGACACCACCCTGACCGGCGAGCGAGACGGCATCATGGGCGAAGGGCAGTCTAAGTGGGTACACCCAAGTATCCACCCGTCTGTGTCAGTATGCGATTGACCAAGTTGTGGCAGGTTGAACGGGGCCATCGTGCAGGGCGAGAAGGACGCTGTGCTCAAGTTTCTTGAGACCAAGAAGCCCAGCACGAAGAAGCTCAACGCCGGCCTGCACCGTGCAGCAGCGGCAGGCCAAGCCGACATTTTAGGTCTGCCACCTTCCGTCGTTCTTTCCCTGTCGTTTTCGTTCTTTTTTATTATTTATCATTTATTTATTACTTATTTTAAAAATTTCAATTAATTCGAGTCGAGCAGAGCTCTTCATCAGTAACGGTGCCGACGTCAATTCCGGGACCAGCGGAGAAGAGTTCGCCAACAGCACCCCGTTCTGCCGAGGCGACAATGTGACAGGTGGCCCCACCTGTACCTCGAAGTGTAGCGTGTGCATTCCTGACGCACTCCACCACTACTCCTACTACTACTAGCCCTCCACAAGGCGTGCCTGGCCGCCAACGCGTTCTGTCTCAAGCATCTCCTGCAAGCGGGCGCAGACCCCATGGCACAGTGCGCCTCGCCCCACACAACATTGTTGTTTGTCGCAGGTGTTCGCTCCTCGACCTTCCTGAGATCGCTCACCTTCGATGCTCCAAAGCGCAGATGTAGGCTGGTGACCAGGGAGGGCCACACCACCAAGGACAAGGTCCCTCTCTCAATCCTTCCTTCTCCCGCCAACGAACGATAACGGGAATGCTCACTACGATGACGACGACGATGATGGTGTTGGTGTTGGCGGTGATATAGGTCACGCCGGCAGAGTGTGTGCTTCTGGGCGAGGACGAGAAGACGGAGAAGGAGCGGTACGAATGAGTGATAGCCACGGCGGCGCACAGAATCCACGAGCCACTCACACGCGCTCCTCCGTTCCCAGGGACATCTGCTTGCAAACGCTGATGCTCAAAGGGCTCACCGTCAACTACTCCAACGAGGTACACATAGGACACTGTCACTCTTCAACGGGGACTGACCGACACTCTCTTTTTCTCGTGGTGCCAAGGACGGGGACACCCTGCTCCACCTGGCGGCGCTCAGGATGCACCGGGAGATCGGCATGACGCTCGTCGCCAAAGGTCTGGTCTTCTCTCTCGCCGCCCCCACTCCGCAGCGCTACCGCGTTCTCACTCCATCATCATTACCATTGGCAGGCGCCAACGTGAGCGCCACGAACAACAGGGGCAGGACCCCGCTTCACAGCTACGCCGAGGGGATGGCCAATCGGCTTGGTACCTTTCCGCCCATTCTCCCCCCCCCATTCGTGTGTTTGTTTGACGCCTCGTCAACGCCGGCCGCCGTGTGCTGTGTCATCAGGGCACTTGATGATGACCGAGATCAAGGACCCACAGAACGAAATGCGAAGAGGTACGGACGTGCCACTGCGCGTACGTTCAGCGTTCGAGGCTTGGGCTCACCCTCTCTTTCCTCGCTGTAGTGGGGCAGAAGGACACGTGGGGCGACCACATCAACTTCTTTGTTCGATTAGGTACGCCTTACCTCCTCAATGAATCCGCCATGTGACGCGTTCGTGGTTCATTGTTGACGACGACGCAGGCGCGGACGTGAACGCGACGGACAGCGAGGGCTACACGCCGCTGCACGTCGCCTGCTTCGCCTTCTCCTACCAGACCTACTTCATCTCCTTCCGCATCTCGGCACTCGACTACGCCGAGGTCTACTTCGCCGACTGCGAAATCTACAAGTACCCCCCGCTCACATCGCGACACCATTGTCCCCCCCCCCACAATCCACGCCGACACCACGACCAACGACACGACACAAACAAACGCAGACGCTTCGTGCAGGCCGGGGCCAACCCCAACGCGAAGGACAACGCGGGCCACGATCCGCTGAGCCTCATCAAGGACCGCGTCGGCTTTGTGGCCGCGCAGAAGGGCCGCTGATGTATGGAAGTGGATGTTTACTAAACAACTTTGGTGAGGTGTAGAGAAAAAGAAAGGGGGGGGGTGTGAACGAAGGCTTAGAGGGCGTCGATCTCGGCGAGGGTCTCGGTGTCGACGGGCTTGGCCTCGGGCACGACTTCCTCCTCCTCCTCCTCTTCACCCTCTTCGTCCTCGTCGTCTTCATCTTCGCCGCCCTCGCCGTCGGACTCCTCGTCGGCCTCCTCGAGCCACTTGCAGAAGGGCTCGGCGGCCTTGGCGAACTGGGTGGGCTTGTTGACGAGGCCGCCGTACCAGATGAGGATGTTCTCCTCCTCGAGCACCTCCTCGTCGTAGAGGAACTTGAGGATGGAGGGCGCGAGCTTCATCATGCCGGGCCTGACCGCGGCGGGCTGCTTGTTGGCGAACGAGTCCATGGCGACGATGAGCTCGCGCTGGCTGGCGGGGTTGGAGGTGATGAACTTCTGCAGGGCGCCCTTGGCGACCTTGACGCGCTCGACGAGCTTCTTGAGATCGCCGAGCACGTCGGAGAAGACGGCCTCGAAGATGAGGGCGTTGCGGGCGGGGTCGTCGAGGAAGTTCTCCTTGACGAGGCGGATGACGTCGTTGACGACCTGGTCGGCGGCGGGCTTGGTGGCCAGCAGCTTGCGCAGCTGCTCGGCGGCGGGCTCGTCCTTGGCCTTCTCGTTGGCGACGAGGGCCTTGAGGCGGTCGGGCACGAGGGTCTCCATGCGCTCCTTGGCGGCCTCCTCGGAAGTGTCGATGGCCCAATCGTCGTCGGCCTTCTTCTTGGTCTCCGAGGGCGAGGCAGCCTTGTCGCCATTCTTCGAAGAAGAAGCAGAGGAAGATGTGGTGGTGGCCGAATCGGAATCGGTTGATTTGGCGGTGTTGACGACGATGGCCTCCGTGACGCCGGGAGGGGCCTTCTTGGTGTTGGTAGTCATGATGTTGGACTTGAGCGGGGGGTTGTTGATGGCGAATCGTCTGAATTTCTCGTTCATGTCCTTGACCGATGTGAGCAGGCCCTTCCATCCGCAGGAGCGGCAGGCCATGCGGACGTCCTTCTTGTTGCCCTGGCCGCTGTAGGTGAGCTCGGGGTAGCGACACTTCTTGCAGAGCACGAACTCGCGGATGAACCGCACGAGATGGTCGCTCAGCTCGGGGAGCGGATACTCGCCCGAGATGCTGCCCCTCTCGCGTTCAGGCTTCTTCTTATCGTACTTGGCCTGCGCACCGATGACCTTGGCCAGGTAGTTGGGGATGTAGGACGGGGGCAGATGCAGATCCTTGGAGACATCCTCGAGATTGGTGAGCGAGGTGCGGACCATCTTGCCATTTCCGATGACCTGCACCTGCAGTTGTCTCATCTTGTAACGATAGAACGGATCGCTCTGCATCGCCGGGTCGATGGCGATCGTGAGCGGGGCGCTCGTCATGTAGATTACGTACGGCTGCTGCGTCTTATCCATGGTGATCGTTGATTTTGTGTGATGTGAGAAACATCATTCAATGATGATGAACGCAACGAAAGTGGCCCAGCCTTATTTTCCACCATTTCTCCGGCATTCCGAGCGTTCCATTCCATTCCCCGATATTTTTTTCCTTCCTATTTCTGGAATGTGCCCAAGAGCCATTCCACATTCAAGAGGTGAGGCGCAGACTCCATTCAATTGATACTGTAGTGGACTGTAAAATGTTCCATTGTTCTGTTTCACATCCTGCTTCATGTACATTCTCCACCCTTCTATTGCCTTCTCAGGGTCAAAGTTGTACCAACCTCATTCTTGCTGGTGCATCAGTTAATAGATCCATGATCAAACCTTCTCATAAATAAAGAAACTCCTGGTGCAGCCTTTGTGGGGTGCAGGGCACTGCCTTTATGGGCGTGGTGAAGTGTCCCAGGTTCATTTCCGAGTTTTTTCTTAGGGTGCCTTCTCTTCCTTTTCGACAAATTAAATATACTGTTTTCTGGCGACCACAAATCCAATTTGTAATTGCACCACTCGAGCCACGACAAGATGGAGGGCATCAAGGTTGAAGAGACCAAGCCGCAGCAGGCCGCGAAGTCAGAGAAGCAGAACCAGAAGAAGCCCGCTGAAGGCAGAGCCATGAGAACTGGCGGAAAGAAGAAGGTTCCTGATTGATTTTTTTCCATTCGCTCTACCCGCTAACATTTCACCTTTCATCCAGGCATCGGGCGTCATTCCCAGTGAGCCGATTGCAGGCGTCCGCGATTTCCCTCCTGGTACCCTTCAAACTTCTCAAATACCCCCGCCAATTTCTTTCGCATTCTCACATTATGATTTGGGTGCAGAGGAAATGAGGAAGCGCACCTGGTTGTTCGACAAGTTCAGGGAAGTCGCTCGTGTCTTCTCATTCCAGGAGTACGATGCTCCCGTGCTTGAGTACGAAGAGCTCTACACCAGGTTCGTCCCCTCCCGTCGCGCCCCTGAATCGTTTTGTAGGCTGGAGCGGCGCTCACCGCCTTTTGGCCTTCACCGATCAACAGGAAGGCTGGCGAGGAGATCACACAGCAGATGTACAACTTCGTCGACAAGGGAGACCAGAAGGTGTCGCTCCGCCCCGAGATGACCCCGTCTCTGGCCAGGCTCGTCATCCAGAAGGTTCGTGCCTCCTCTGTTTTGGAAGTCTCCCGCAGGGACCACACCAGCTCACGTCTTGCTGTCGCTTCCTCCCTCAGGGCAAGGCGCTGATGGTGCCGGTCAAGTGGTTCAGCATTCCCCAGTGCTGGAGATTCGAGACCGTGACCCGGGGCAGGAGGAGGGAGCACTACCAGTGGAACATGGACATCATCGGCGTCAAGGAGGTACATCAATCACAGACGAGAGGCGCCTACGCTATTATTATTATTCTCGCCAGCCTCCTTGGTTCAAGCGAGCGCGCTCTCTCTCTTCGTGTGACAGGTGACCGCCGAGGCCGAACTGCTGGCTGCGATCGTTGCCTTCTTCAAGTCGGTGGGACTCAGCGCCAAGGAGATCGGCATCAAGGTGTCCAGCAGGAAGGTGATCGAGAAGATCATCGACGATCTCAAGATCCCCAAGGAGGTCTTCGCCCAGACCTGCATCATCGTCGACAAGCTGGACAAGCTCGAGAGGGCCGACGTGGTGCAGCAACTTGGTATGTGTGCACCACACTAGACCCGCTGGGCTCGCCAACACCACAGCAATCCTTACGCTGTTGTGTGTGTGTGTGTGTGTGTGTAGCCGCTTTGGACCCTCCCGTCCCGGAGGAAGTGGCCAGCAGGCTGATCGACACCCTCTCGGTGAAGAGCATCGAAGAGCTTGGTGCCCTCATCGGCGAGGAACACGAGGCCGTCAAGGAGCTCCAGAAGCTGTTCTGGCTCGCCCAGAGCTATGGCTACGCCGACTGGATTCAGTTCGATGCCTCGGTGGTCCGTGGTCTGGCCTACTACACCGGCATCGTGTTCGAGGGCTTCGACAGGACTGGCGGCATTCCCCGCGCCATCTGCGGCGGCGGTCGCTACGACAGGCTCTTCTCCACATACGGCGCCAAGGTACGCCACACACACACACACACACGCACGTGTATCCAGCGTGGCCGATCGTGCTCATGCGACGTGACGCGACGCACAGGACATCCCTTCGTGCGGTTTCGGCTTTGGCGACTGCGTGATTATGGAGATCCTGGAGGACAAGAAGCTGCTCCCGAGCTTCGCCCCCAAGATCGACGACATCATCCTCGCCTTCAACGAGGAGCTCAGGCCGGCCGCCAACGAGCTCGCCATGGCCCTTCGGATTCAGGGTCGCGCCGTCGAGATCGTGCTCGGCGAGGGCAAGAAGCTGAAGTGGGCCTACTCGTACGCCGATCGCCTGGGCGCTGACAGGGTGATGCTGATTGCTCCCGACGAGTGGAAGGAGAGGAAGATCCGAGTGAAGGACATGAAGAAGCAGACCGACAAGGACGAGAACCAGTACGACGTCCTCTACGACGACCTCGTCAAGCAGTAGTGGCCAGCCGGCGCTGAGCTTCTTCTCTTGTGCTCTTTTTACGAACATTTCGATAAACGTTTCGTAACAACTTCGGAAAGCTGTTTGGAATTTGGTAGGCCCAATACACAAGCTTATTTTTTGAGCAGCGATCACCAATAGGGGCTGTGATCCGAGAGGCTGCATATCCTCGATGCCAGAGAAAGGCAAGTGGGACGCGGTCGTGTGGTTGGTTGGAACACCTGCCACGACATCCCGTGTGGGACCATAAAATCAGGGCCATGTCCAGCCATTAGAACATCAACAACAAACAACAGCAGCAGCAGCAAGCAGCAACTTCTCCAGAGCAACCAACTACTAATCATGCAGACCACCAAGTTCGTCGTCTTCGCTCTCCTCGTGTGCCTCTTCTTCGTCGCTGCGGCCTTTGCCCAGAATGCCAACAGACCTGGCCAGAACGCTGAGACCGACTTCGGTGCGTTTCACACCTTTCCGTGGCTCTCCTACTTGTTCGAGGTTCTCACCAGTTTCTTCTCTCCCTCTCTGCAGAGTTCAACCAGAACCACTTCAACGGCATCAAGAACGCGGTGCGCGAGGGCAGCCGTGGCGGCGACAGCCGCGGCAGCGGCAGGGACGTCGACATCGATATCGACATCCAGCACCTCAAGATTGAGTTCGAGAAGAACTTCTTCATCCTCATCAAGAAGGGTTACTAAGATGGCCAACCTCACGCCTGCGTGAGTCACCACCAGCTTCCGCCCAGAAGAACCCCTCGTGCAGTCGCCTGAGAAGTACATCATTTTTCCTTTAGGAACAGCCAAAGACTTCAGCAATAAAATTTGGATTATCATACTGCTGGTGGAAGCAACAACAATCATCAGCCGATTCACACAAATCTGGGCATGACCGGTTCCGTGTTACTTCTACTTGTGTCCCACAAGAGCAACGGAGTGGAGTGGGTCCGCACCTTTGGTAAGCGCATCTTGCTTGGTGAAGGTCGGGCTGGTGCCAAGGTCGGAGAGTTTCATAGCGCGCAGGCGGTCCTCATCAGGACTCAATAAACTCTCGACGACATCACCACCTTTTTTTCTCCCGTTTTCGTAGGGGCTGATTTACGCTCACTTTGTACATTCACCGCTGAGTGAAGGGAAAGCCACAGAGGAGGAAGTCGTTTCAAAAGAGAGCCCCCTCGACATTGAGGAGCTAATTCTGCCTGCTAGGTACCGCCGAGATTCTTCTTCTGCCATTTGCCGCGAGATGTCGCTCAGCAGTTGATGAAGTACTGCGGTGATGCGGGACTTAGCCGACGCCTCTCCGAAGGCTCGGCAGGCGGTCTAAATTAGGTTATGTCGGCAAGAATGGGAGAAAGGATATGGAAGCGACCAACCAGAGACCGAGGCCATGTGGCCCAGCTCACGGCGACCAGCTTCTCCACCTTTTTAAAGGATCCCACTCAACGCAGTCTTGCACCCAACAACACCCACACCTACTACAACACTGACTGACAAGATGAAGACCTTCACCTTCGCCGCTCTCTTCGTGCTCGCCTGCCTGCTTGTGGCGTCAGCCCTTGCCGACTCGGGCGACAGCGAACGCCGCCCTGGTGGCTCCGGCGCTGGTGGCTCTCGCCCCGGTTCTCCTGGTGGCGCTACTGGTGAACCCGGCGCTGGTGGTAGTACTGGGGGCACGACCGTGGAGGAGGACGACATGGCCACCTTGTTCAACAGCATCAACGGAGCCAATGGCAGTACGTCCTCCCACCGACGGCCTGATGGCTTTCCTTGGCGCGTCTCGTGCTGAGTGACTGACACACTCCAAACCTGGTCAGTTCTGGGTGCGGACACGTTCTCCCAGCTCTCGGCAGCCACCAGCGGCCACAACGGGCTGGAGAAGCTCGAGATCAACCTGAACATCAAGGTCGTCCTCGTAAAGATTGGCGACAAGACTTTCAGGCTCCACTGAGTGACCTGATCACCCACCAACTTCCTTTTCTCGTTCACCGACCAGTTTGACGAATAAAAGAAGCACTTTTACAGTAATTCGTCTATGAAAGTGGGCATCACGGGCGTGGGGAGTGACGCCTATGGCTTATGTCGCACCAGCTCACCTCATAGCCGCCACTGCTCTTGCTGCCCGAGGCATCACTTCGTTTTTTTCTGCACCCTGCGCGGGCTGGAGAACGCATGGCAGCCCGTTGTGTAGTCCGAAGCTCCCCACTAGGCTTGCACAGTGTTTTCATTGGTGGTGATGACTTCGCCCGTCGTCAGCATCTCGCCTCTGCCGGTCACCACCACCAGCACTCGACCGCTCTCCCAGTAAGCAAACTGTAGGCGCGAAATGAAGGTATAATGTGGTAGTGCTGGTACCCACCGGCACATGCCATTACACTCACACTACACATGACGGCCACTACGGACGGGGCATGCTCTGAGCTGGCCAACAGCATTCACCAGCCATTACTGACACATATTTGTCGACTACGGGTGATCCCGCTTTCCATTCTGGTACATTGAGACACAGGGCCGTCGTTGGGCGGAACACCTGCCACCGCTCCTGGCGCGGGGTCTTATTAAAGAGGCTCACACCCTTGATTGTCTCTACCTTATACAACAACACCAACAACAAGCAGCACCAGCTCTGCTCACTACTGTCATCAATCAACTGCAGTCATGATGAGCCTCAAGTTTGCAGCCATCGCGCTCCTGGCGTGTCTCTTTGTCGCCGCGGCCTTCGCCCAGGGCCAGCAACGCCGTCCGGGTGGTGGTGGGGGCAGCGTAGGAGATGAAGCCTACGGCGACCTGAGTGAGTTCCAGAGTACGCACACCGAGCCCTCTCCATTCCAGCGTTTGGCTGACTGTGTGTTGTGCGCGTGTGCTTAGCGTTCAAGAAGGAGGACTTCAAGGGTATCGAGGAGGCCGTCGATAGCTTCCTGCACTTCGGGGAGGAGTCGCGCGAGGTGGACAGGAAGGGAGGCTACCACCACGACAAGGACAACGGCCTCAAGACCCTCGAGCTCGACTTCTCCTTCAACCTCTTCGCCCTCATCAAGAAATAAGCTCCTTTGACGGCCGCCAGCCTGACCCCTCGTAGCAGGATAGAGCAACCACACACTACCCGCGTCACCATCACCAAAAGAATGAAGATCTGTCGCTTCGCTTTTTCTACTGCAAAAATTTTCAGTCCGAATCGATGAGCGCAGGGGTTCAAGGGGAGAGGGAGGTGGCGGGGAAGGTGGAGGGACCGGAGGGAGGCGACGGGGCCTTGACCCGCTCGAGGACGGCGCTGGAGGCCAATTCCTCGAAGTGGCCCGAGCTGGAGCTGGCGCTGCGGGCCGAGAGGCTCTGCAGCTTCTGCATCTTGCCGGTCAGGCTCGTCAGCCACTCCTGCTTCTCCTCTACACTGTCGAAACGCAACGTCGTCACGTCCTTCTTGTAGGCGATATCGATCACGTGGTGCTGGTCGCCTGCTCCCCCCAACCACCATCGAAATGTTGTCAACAAACAAACGATTGACACTTGATGAACAGAGCATCGAGCAGTCTCGGGTCGAGTGCGCACCCTTGTCGGGGAGGTCCAAGAGCGAGGCTTGAGCGAAGGGAATCATGGATACCACCTTCAACATCGCATCCTTCCGTCGTGAGGCTGACGGGGGGGGGAGAAGAGCGAAGAGCGTCAATCATTTCAAAAGAACGAAGAGAGAGAGAGAGAAATACGTACAGCCGGGCTTGTCCTTGTCTTCGGCAAGGATGAGCAGATCGGTGAAGAGGAAGAACCGCCGGCGGAAGCTCTCCGACCGATCCTTGGCAACTTCCATCAGCTTGCCCTCCTGCACCAGCCGTCGGCCGGGCACCATCAACTGTACACCGAATTTCTGAGGGGACAGACACAACACGCAACACCGGCGCAAAAACGTGTTTTGAGTCTCCTGACAACGGTGAGTGTCGTTGCGTGCGTGCGTGTGTACCTCTGTATTGGAGAGTCGGCTGATGATCCTGGCGATGACCTCTCGATCCTCGTCGGCCTGCTTCTTCTCGTTGACCGACGTCACGACGGCTTCGATCTTGCCGAAGGCCTCTTGCAGATGCGGGTAGTCGACATGGGCTTCATCCGTGTGCTTGATCAGCTCCTGCTCGTTCACACCACTCGCGATCGTCAATTCACGCGGTAAAGGAGAGATTGAGGGGACCACGACGGGACTCAGTGCATCGCGTACCCGCATCAACAGCGGATATTTACAGAGGCGCTGGACCGGTTTGATCAGGTAGTCGCGCAGTGTGAGGCCGTTGAGCTCGGGGTTCACTGCCATTTTCTGAATTCCATGCACAAGAATGAACGGGTCAGCCAGGGGCTCAAGCGAGTGGTGGATTACATATTGGATCGCGCCACGCACCTCTTGGAAGGCTCGGAATCGGGGATTGGTCTTGCTGGCGTTCACGACCGCCTCACGCGCGGCCGCTTGGTTGCTGCAGTACTGGGAGTACATTTTCAAATAGTCGGCCTGCGCGACAAAAGAACGAAGAGAAAGAGCATCGGAGTTAAAACTGAGGGAATTTGGGGACAAAAGGCAGATGGACGGGAGGGGGGGGGGTGGAGTAGGAGGCGCACCAGTAGGACAAAGCACTGGCCGAGCTCTTCGCCGTTGGTCTCCTTGACTCTCTTGGAGATATCATCATACAGCTCGGAGTTGACATGCAGGAGCATGCTCAGGTTCGAGAAGATCGTGCTCAACTCCTCTTTGGTGAGAATGCCCTCTTCGTCCAGCGGCATCCTGTTGTGTACACCGGCATGCATGTGAGTTTTCTGCACAACCGCACGCGCACGACACGCACGACACGCACGATAAACACAAGAGAAAGTCGAACCGGAAGAGGGTGAGCATGATTTTGAGGTCCTGGACGTAGTCCCGTTCGGTGTTGACGATTTCGTTGATCACCCGGTTGCGTTGTCGCTGCTTCTCGGGGACGTCCTCGCCCACGGGCAACACCTCGCGCTCGCGCTTTCGCCGCTCCTCGCGCTCGCGCTTGTCCTTCTCCTCTTCGACCATCTTGGCCTTCTGGTTGAGGACCCACAGCGGGTTCATCTTGCGGGCCGACGCCGGCTGCATCAGCGAGTCCGGCGTGGACGACACGCGACGGGGCGACTTGTCGCTGTTGCTCCCTCCTCGCGCACTGCCGTCGCCGAAGACCGATGACAGGTTGATAGAGATGTTCTGTCGGCGCCCCGCGTCAGGCCACACGCTCTCAAGCCAGTACAGTGGACCGCACGACACGACACGACACACACGACACACGCGACACGATACACGATACACGAGGCGCACACGACACATGGTGGAACAGAAGCCATTACCTTGAGCGAAACGAAGCGTTCGAGCGAAGGCGTCTCCTTTGCCGGCGTGACAGAGTCGCGGCTGGCTGATCTTGGGTTGAGTGTTCTGTCCACCCCACGCAATCGTGAGCACGGTGCGTGTGCGGTGTGTGCGGTCGTGCGTGTGGTGTGTGCGTGTGCGTGTGCGTGTGCGGAAAAAAGCAGTACTGGCGATCGATGTGATTGATCTGTTTCTTGAGCTCCACCATCGAGCCGGAGCGCGTCAGATTCTTCCGCAGCTTCTCCGTGTTGCCCTTGGCCTCACCATCACCGCTGCCACCCTCCTCCCGCTGCCCGCCGCCGTGCTCCGCCTCGCCGTCGCCCTCCGCATCGCCCTCCGCGTCCTCGCCGTTGAGCTTGACCGACAGCGAGTGCCGCGAGGCCGTCGGCAGCGGGAGGCTCTTGTCCTCCTTCTTCTTGCGGCGGGACGAGTGGCCCTTCTTCTGTTTGTCCTTCTTGTCCTTCTTGGCCTTGGCCGAGCCGGCGCCCTCGTCCTGTTCGTCGCCCTCGACGGCGACGGCGGCGGCGGCCTCTTCGTCGCCCTCGAGGCCCGCAGCTGCCCCGTCCGCCGTCGGAGCATTCTCTCTTCGCTTGAGCTTGCTCGCTGTGTGCCACAAGAAACAAAGAAAGAACGAAAGAAAGAAGACGAGAGAAGAAGAACACGCGTCAGTCGCTCAGCGCGAGAACAACGGAACGAGGAGGGAGGGGGGGAGACCAGGTGGCGAAGTCAACGACAACAAAAAAGCGACCGGCGCGAGGCGTGTTTGGCCAGCACTTTTTTGTTTCCGTTATTATTTGTTTTAAAATAATAATAAAAGCCATAAATGGAAAATTGAATTACAACTTATTCACATAAATAATGGAATTAATACAACATAAGAATAGAAAGTGAAGGGTGACGGGGGGGGGAGTGCACCTCCAGGCCGGCGGAACGAGCCCAGGAGGGAGGCGGCCGTTGCGCCGTCCGTCGCGCTTCGCTTTCGCTTGGCCTGGGCGCTGAGGCTTCGATCTTTCACCTGGGCCATGGTGAGCCGCCTGGCCGAGGTCGGCGACGCGCCAGCAGATGACGACAGGCCCTCCATCACTCCATCTCCTCCTGCCGCCGCCTCGTCGTCGATGTTGAGCGCCTCATCTGCCGAAAAATCTTCCTCGGTGTCGACCTTGGCTTCATCGTCGGTCGTTGAGTCGTTGCCACCGGCGTTGCCCTGCACTTTTTCTTTCACGACGCGCGAGAGGCGTTCGATGCGCGAGCCCCCTCTCTTCTTCTTTTTCTCCTTGTCCTTCTTCTCCTTGTCTTTCTTTTCCTTCTTCTCCTTCTTGGTCTGGGCCGTTTGGGGATGATCCTCGCTCCCTCCCAACTTTATCTCCGACATCTTTCCTTCGCTTTCGTTCTTTTAACCACCTTGCCTTCGTTCTTTCTTTTGGCGAGAGTGAGAGGTGAGAGGTTGTGCTTGAGGCTGTACTTCGGCCACTCTCCGGGCCTTCACTTCGCTCTCGTGTTTGTTGCGCAGGCTGAGAGATAAAATGACACTAAACCAACAACAGCGCAACGGTCGCCCGCCTTATGCCATTTTAGCTCCGGACTGGTTTCCTCGACAACCTCACCGTGTTTGAAATTTCACACCAAGAGAACGAAGCGGTGATGATCACTTGGTCGGGGCAGCGCCGCCGGGTTTCTTGTTTCGCGGCCGGCGTGGTCGGGCGGCGGACTCCTTGAACTGAACCAGGTCTTGCTCGCCGTCCACCGCCGCGAACTTGTGCCACTTGTAGCCCTTCGCCCTCTTCTTCGGCTGCGGCAACGGCGTTGGTGAAGGCAGCGATGACGGCGTACCCCTCTCCGCCGCCCTCGGTGGCTGAGAAGTGGTGGTCTTCGCCGTCTTGGCTGTCGCCGATGCCGACGTGAGCGACGGCGGTGAAGTTGATGATGTTGAAGTGGAGGTTGATGGTGATGATGATGAAGTAGAAGTTGAAGTCGACGTTGAAGTTGAAGAAGATGGAGAGAGAAAGAGTGTGTGCGGAGTGGGCTGCAGCAGAGATCGGTGTGGTGGCGCCGCGGGCCGAGCAGAGTCGGGGAAGAAGGGCGACGCCGAAGCCAAGGTCGGCCGCGACGGTGGTGTTGACCGCTGCGTCGAGAGGCGGGGTGGAAGGAGCTGCTCGCCGTACATCGCCGCCGACGAGGTGAGCGGCTCCGGGACTGGCGGCATCGGCGACGGCGCCCAGGCCTGGGGCGGTTGGGCCACCGCTGCTGGGAGCGGCGGATGACGAGCAGAGTACTCTGCCTGCGGCAGGTGGTACTGATGAGGCAGGTGCTGCGGGGCGTGGTAGTAGTGGTAGTCGCTGTGCTGCAGGCGGGTGCTGGCGAGAGGGTGGTCCGCCATTACAGCGCCTGCATAGTGCGCCGCCGCCGAGCCGTGAGCGTAGGGCCGGGTCGTGGTGACGGGGTAGACCGGCCCACGGGACGAACTGATCGGGGCCGGCGTGGGCAGAGTGGGAAGCGAGTGAAGAGATCGGTCGTGACGACCAAAAGGTGTTGACGACGTCAGCGTGAGCGAGGACGACGTGGCGGGCGAGCTCGGCGAAGTCGAGCTCCGAGAGCCGGCGGAGGAGGGAGTGGGGAGGGAGGTGAACGCGGGCGGGGCGACGACTATCGTCAGCTCGTCTCTGCGTCGCTTCTCTGACGTTCGCCTCACGCCCGCGTCTTTCGTCGTCGGTTCGTCAACCAGCGCGATCTCGTGCAGGCGTTCGCTCAGACCCTGCGCAGCAACGACGGGCGGCGTCGGTGGGCGCTCGTTGGCGAGGGGCTTGGGGAGGCCTTCGAGCGCCTGGGCGTAGCCGGCGTACAGGCCGCATACGAGCGGGTATGTGGTGGCCAGCGGTTGGGTCACCTCCAGCAGTTCCTTCAGGTCGCACCACTGCCGAGTCTCCATCAGCGCCTCTGTACACATCGATGCCATGAGCGTCAGCGCACACGCACGCGCACCGCCGCACAGGACATCTCAAAGCACGTACCGACGGCGGCGGTGACCATGGGCTGCATGCCGCAGTACATGTACTGCATGAAGTGGGCGTTGCGCTTGGCGATCTGCAGGAAGCCGGACGCGGCGTGCGCCGAGAGGTCGGGCCGGTCGAGGCACCTGGCGCAGTCGGCCTCCAGGGCCTTGACGCACATGAGGAACGACACCCGCTGCATGTAGGGCAAGCGGCTATCCTCCCCCATGACATACTCGTCCTCGGCCTCACTGCTATCGTCGCTAGCCATCGCCGGCGGACTGCCCGATGCGATGCGTGCGTGCCCGCCTGCGCAGGCACCTTCGCTCTCGGCTTCGGCTTCGGCTTCAGCCTGCAGGTCGGCCTCGAGCGTACCTAGGGCGCGCAGCAGAGGGAAGAGATGGCGGCGCCCGGCCTCGCCGCGGGCAGCGGGCTGGGCCGCCGCTCGGGCCTTGTAGATCGACAAGCCGGCCATCACATTCAGCAACAGCATGCCAACTGAGTTGCCCCTGTTGTTGGTGGTTGGTTGGTTGGTTGGAGTTGACAGAGAAAATTCTGTAGTTGATCGCGAGTCGTTGGTGGTACCTGTCGACGGCGCTGATCATGGGCAAGCCGGCGCGCTCGAGAGACTCGAAAGGAAGCGACACTCGGCAATACGGCAACCGCCGGGCGTGCAAGTATTCTGTAGTTATTGGGGAAATAGAGAGGAGTTAAAACCCTGATGAAAGCGGCGGGTTGTGGGGAGTACCGTACCGCGTCGGAGGTGGATGAGCTCTTTGGCGGTGGTGGAGGGTAAGAACGTCGCACCGTAGATGCATCGCAGGAAAGTGTCACTGTTGGTTATTGACAAAGAGAGTAGTTGGTGAGTTGACAAACTGTAGTGTTTCGATCACCCACGCATTGTAGATGTTGAATAAAGCACCTGTTGAGCATAGCGACGCTTCGGCAGATGTTGGCCGAGAGAGACATGTAGTACCCACACTTATTTATGTCACACTGCATGCGTTGCGGTATGGAGTGAGTGGTTGATCTTATGGGCACTCAATCAATCCATACCTCGTAATAGAGCACATGTAGTGCTAGGACGTAGAGTGCCTGCGCCACGTTGTAGTCGGGATTGTCGAAGACTTCGCTGAGGGTCCATCGGGCTCTCTCGGTCATCTGCTTCGCCATCTCGACATTGCCGCTGTGCGTCGCTCCTGGGAGGCGACATGTTAAGCTCACGTTGAGTTGGGTGGTTCCTGAAAGACCTTGCGAGGTCCGCGTACCAATCAAAAGGCACACGTAGACATTTAGAGTGAGCGGGTAGTCCTCTCTAGCTTCATCGGGCGACGTCAGAGCGAAGCGGACCATCTCCTCGGTCATCGCCGCCGGGGCCAACGGTGAAATGCTCCAGAAGAACCTGCGCGCGCACACAGGTTCATCAGCAGACCGCAGCAGCAGCAGCAACAACGGGGAATACGTGTAGTGATGGTTCACCGTACTTGGCGTAGACATCACGGTAGGTTATGGCCAGGCACATGTTGTTGAAGTGGGCTCCTTCGAGCCACGACCTCGCTGTCGTGCGCGTGGTCTGCGGCTGTGTTGGTTGTTTCCCATCGTCCACCATCTCGTCGAAGCTGTCGTTGAGGAACAGCTCCCACTCCTCCTTTTGTCTCCGAGACGGTGATCCACCGTTCAGCGGCTCAGCCGCGGACGTGTTGTGCGCCGGCACTGGCGCTTGTGAGGCGAGATTGGTGGTGGTGGTGGTGGTGGTGGAATAGGAGTTAAAAAACCCGGCCGTTGTGTTGGTGAAGAAGCCGGCGTTGGACGATGCGGGCGGTGCTGCGTCGAAGGCCGACAGCTCAGGCGGGTGCGAAGAGTACGCCATGAGGCGCTGGGGCTGTCGATCTCCGCGATGCGACGCCGCCTCATCGGGCCGATAGCGCGACGCGGCCGGAAGGCTCCACTCTCCGCTGCTCTCCGAGCCGCTGCGATCGCAGTGGCCGTAGGCATCCGCCGCCGAGGAGAGCGCAGACGCCGGGCTGCTGCTCCCGCCGCCGCCGCCGCCGTGGTAGACCCCGATGCAGCTCGTGTCGAAGAGGCTCACCTGGCCGCCGCCGCCAAACGCCGAACTCATGATCCCCGTCTCCGGCATCGCGTTGATCGCATGTCCAGGGACCCGCGATGATGATGAAGAGGTGGTAGTGTTGTGAATCGGTTCCTCTACAACGCGTTGCTGCTGCCGCTGTGGTTGCTGTTGTTGTTGTCTTTGCAGCTTCTTTTCTTGTCGCTGCCGATCCCGCTCGTTCAGGTCGGCCTCGACCAGCTGGATGTCCTCCTCCGCCAACCATCGCCGCAGCGTTTCCGTGCTTCCGCTGTCGCTCGAGCTCAGCGAGGAGTGGATCGAACCACCGCCGACGTCGTGAGGCGTAAAAGTGCGATCCCACATAACAGGGCGGGAGCAGGCCTGATAGAAGCGACTCTGCGCAATCCACTACTTCATCTTAGAAGATGTAAAATCTCAACTCCTTGAAAGGAGATATATCTTTATTTATTTTATTGAAGGAGGGAGAGAGTACGGAGAGGGGGGGGGCAAAGCGAAGGTACCTTGACAAGAAAAGGTGTTGTGGCTCGCTCGAGCTTGTTCGCTTGTTCGCGTTACGGAGGTGGGACGAGAGCCGCAGACGATGGGTGCTTCCTCGGCAGTTTTTATCCCATCGCTATGTAGCCATCCCGCAGACACGGCGTGACAAGCAGTCTCCGAGCAGAACAGCCTGTGGTGGCCTAGTGCTGGTGCGCCGGCATTGCGAGACACGATCATTCTCGCACCTCTGGCCATCGGTCTGCACCCCACGCGAGATGGTGCACCGATGTCTTGGGAGCCACCTCGCTGCATAGGCACACGCACCAGAAGAGCCAAAAAAAGAATTGGCGGAACAAGATTATTTTATTTCTTGGAATGTAGAATATGTCATGGAATGCCAAGCACGACCTGTGTGCGGTGAAATGAGGTCAAACGTTTGTGTTGGTGAAAACAGCATTTCAGCCCACCACACCAACAGCGCAAGAAGAGCCAGCGCGCCACTCTCGTTTGGCCTGTTAGCCCTCCCCCACCCACCCAGTTAAGTCGACCTACCAAAACACAAGTATGTGCCGTTGTGGAGGTGCGCAGCCCTTCACTTTTCTTCTTTTTTAATTAACAAAGAGGGTTTTTTAAATAAACAATAAATGTCTGTCATTCTGTTTTCCCAGGTTATTTGTGGTACGAGCCTGTGCTAGAGCTCCCGAAGCCTACGCCTGTCCCTCTGCTGGCAGTGCATGTCGAGGCCACCCTGCAGGACCACTGCGCACGCGTCGAGATACGGCAGACCTTTGCCAACCAGGAGGACACGCCCATTGAAGCCACGTACGTGGCCGTTACTGAAGTTCTCTTTGTCTCTTCTCTGCTGCTAACCAACTGAGCGTACATGGTGCAGGTACCAGTTCCCGCTCGAGGAGGCCAACTCAGTGTGCGAGCTTCACGCCGAGATCGACGGACGCAAGGTGACGGGTACGGTGGCCACCCTAGATCCGCGGCCCTGGAGCGAGTGCCTTGACAGCTCTTTCTTCTCATTCCAGGCGTGTGCAAGCGGAAGGAAGATGCGCTCAATGACTACGACGATGCGATCGCCTCGGGGCACGGAGCCTACACACTCAACCAAGGTATGATCGCGCATGACCACGATTGTAACGCTACACAGCCCAACAACAACAGCAGACACGGCTTTTCGTTGACTGACCTTGTTGCTGGCCCGTAGACGACAAGGACATGCTCAAGCTGGCCGTTGGCAATTTGCCACCCAAGGCTGTGGTATGTGATGTGTTGCTGCTCCACTTGCCCAGTACGGCAGTCTGTTGACTACTACTGTTCATTCTCCAGGTCGTCGTCACGGTCGTGTATGTCACCGAGCTCAAATTCCACAACGGCGCCGTACGTCTACCTCACCCACTGGCTCGCACTGATCACACCCGAGTACCGATCATCGCTGGTTCTCTCTCTCTCTCGCTAGACGGAATGGATCCTGCGCTCCAACTCCAGGACACAGTCCAATTTCTTCAAGACGAAGGTGGCCTACAACATTCCTGATATCTCCATCCACGCCAGCTTGGGTACGCGTCGGGCCACCCATCAATCATTGTCATCATTTCGTAGAATCGAACTCTTGTTCATCCCGTTCTGTCTCTTGCATTGGTGGTTCTGTCATCAGATATGAGCAATAATATCGAGAGCGTGGCGTGCCCATCGCACACGATCGAGTACACTGCGGGTGAGATCCCGGGCGAAGGCTCCGCCAAGCTGGTGCTCGCAGATGCCTCCCAGACGAGGCAGCTGGACAAGGACTTCGTTCTTCTCGTTCATCTCGCCGAGTCCAGCGGGTAGAGTCACCCCCCCATCTTATCTTGGATTTTTAATCATACACTCACCCCCTCCCTCAATAACACCTCATCGCCTTCGCTTCTTGCAGAAGTCTGGCACGTCTGGAGGAGAACGACAACGGGAAGCTGTGTGCCATGGTGGCCGTCCAGCCCAAGCTGGAATGGCCCGAGGGGGTCAAGCTGAACAGTGAGATCGTCGTCATCGTCGACCGGTCGGCGAGCATGGCCGGGAAACGCATCGCTCAGGTACGTATCAACCACAGCGCACCTGACTTAACACCCTCCTGCTAGTGTCCCTCCTGACCATGCCCCACACGCAGGTCAGAGACAGTTTGCAGCTCCTGATTCGAAGCCTCCCCGAAGGCGTACTGTTCAACATCGCTGGGTTCGGCTCGAGAGTCGACTTTCTATTCAAGGACGGGTCGGTGGAGTATACGCCCGAGAGCTTCCAGAGCGGTACACACGCTCGCACCCACCCACACTGTGTGTGTCATTTTTAACTCTGAAAACGAATCACAGCGAC